CCGCGGACCCGAGATTATTATTAAATATGTTTGATAGCGGTACAATAATTTGCGGTTTTTAGTGCCAGGAACAGGTTTTTTTAATGATTCAGTTTTAAAGAGAGTGTCCTGAACCACAATCATTGTTATCTTCTAATCTTAATCATTTGCGCTTGGTTGGACAGTTGTTGGCAAATCGCTTACAGGAAGAAATTTAAAACTTAAGCCACAGTAATAAGAATAGCTATTAAAGAAGGTAGAAGCCGTGATCAGTGGCGTTGCTTGGTTAAATTCCAGGGGGGGGAGAAGCCTCAAATTTCCTGACTGCTTAACATAGATTTCCCAACTATTTTTTTTTTAGAAATCAATTTCTGTACTATTTTTAAAAATCTACAAATTATACAACACAGCAGTTACACTCAATTCAGTATTTATAAACTTGCATTAACAAAACATACCTAGTTTTACATATATACAGAATTACTCAATTTCTAAAACTTCTACTGCTTCTATCAATTCATAATGCAATTTTATGACTTCAAAAAACTTGAACAAGTAATGTTTCAAATCCAAAAAACTTTACAAACCATTGTGGTAGCAGATGTAGCAGTGTAAAATTTTAGGGATATAAAATAAGCCTAGTACAAATTAGTATAGAAAAAATATTTTACTACAAAAAAATGAAATTAAAATACTTTTAAAAGTTAAGATCAACATTTTAACTTTCATAAAACTTACAGCTAGGGTAGGTGTAAACAAGTTTGTAATGATGAAATATTAATATCAGTGTTGAGAATAATATTATTTTAGTCTAGAAAAGAATAAACCTAAAATAAGACTCTTATAAAATAAAAACGTTCAGCTTGGATGATAATAAACTTATACATACAATAAAAATGTTAACCTTCATCTTCATCAAACTAGAACTTAGACAAAAATCAAACTAGTGAAAGTCAAACATCAAATTTTAGGTTATGTTTTGTCTACGTAGATCTGTTTCAGAGTGATTAGTTGATTCATTTTTGTAAATCCTTATAGGAATGACAAATAATTTGTGTAGATTTTTTAAAATATATTCAGAGAATAAATATTTCATTTAGGTTATTAAAAAATGAGGGTAATACCGATACACAAAACCTATCTTTAATGTTATTTTAATCTGCTTATTAGCAAGTACTCCGGTCAGTTAGCCTACTCCAAATACCACAAAAAAAAGGTATAAAATATATTTCATATGACTGACGAGAACAATATTTTAGAATTTCTTGTAAACACTAACAAACATAATTAAACAGAAGAGCTGCATCGCTTGCACTTCCAAAATTCAAACTTGCAGTCTCGCAGACGAATCATTCAGAATCATCAACACAGGACAGGATCGAGGTAGCTAACATACGTCCAATAAGGAACAAAATTTCCCGTAAACGAAATTCCAACAAGCTATACCGCTAATTGATTATTGATTTATTAAAATAAGGCGTGTTTAGCCATGGTTTAGCCTTGTTTAATCAAAGTTAAATGAAATCAAAGAAGTGTCAAGTTTATTTGTCCAAGTCAAAGACATTTTTATCTTTGATGGATTTTCGCAAATATTTAAATTTTGTTTAGTTTAAAAATATATTTTTCTTGTATCTGACTTCCCAACTGTCCCAACTCGTGGCAAGGAAATTCCCAACTTTTCTCTTTCCCAGATTCTAGGGGGGGGGGAGGCTCCCCCCCTACCCCCCCTTAGGCGACGCCCCTGGCCGTGATCAATTTCCAGAACCTCTGCTGCTGTCATGTAGACCCTATCATTGTCTCCTTTAATGAGGGAAAATCAAAATCTTCCTCTGTAATCGAGGCAAAAGCATGGATTTTTCAATGCAAAATCTTTGCAGACGCATTCTGCAACTGTGATAGTAAAAGCTCTGCTTGACAACATATTTTCTGTCAAATATCCCAAATTTCTGTAATAATCCAATCATCTGAATTTTTGACTATCCAAATGTTGTACGGTCCCAATTGATGCAGCGTTCAAGTGGCGTTCTACTGTACTAGCTGTAAATGTTGTTAAACATATCAATCACATAATCCCTTAAACCTTTACCAAATATTGATCACCAATTCTCCTTCTCGTTATCCACAGGTTACTTGGGACGGCCACACGTCCAGTGTAGAAGCGGCCACTAGAGCAGCCCGAGCCAACATCACCATCGAGGAGCAGATCCATCAGATACACAAGGTCAAGGGGCTGCTGCCTGATGAGGAGAAGGAGAAGATCGGACCCAAGCCTGTACCTGGGTCTGCTCCAATGCCTCCTAGATCACAGCCTCCGCAGCCACCCCCGCCCGTCAAACCTCCACCACCTCCTAGTGCTCCACCTGTGCCTGCCCCGCCTCCCCCGCAGCCACCTCTGCCAATGCCTCCCATGGCCCCATTACCCCCGCCACCTGGTATACTGCCTCCTCAGCCTCCCATGATGATGGTGCCGGCACCCATGCCCCCGCTCAGGCCTCCGATGATGGGTGAGTTCAGATTTATGTTTTGTAAATATACAATTGTGTATGTGATGTAATAGTATCTTCAATTAGAGGTTATTGAATAACATAGATCAGCAACCAGAGAAAAATCCCATCAAGGTTTGGGTTCCATGCTTATTTTCCTGTGATTCTTAAATTAATGTGTTAGTGGTTGTAAGTTTTGGTAGGTAACTTCACAAGTATTTTTTCTAGGGCGATTGTATTTTGGTTAAAATATAAGTTTTTGCCAGTCGTTAGTTCCAAAGTCCCTGTACCTCATTGCGTCTTTTAGGGAACTAAATTGAATTCATTTCACTCTCAAAAATCCTTCGCCACTACCTACACACTCAATGGTATTGTACGAGTCAATTCTGTATAATTAGTTAATTACGCTTTTTATCTATGATTCCACAGAAAAAATACTTTTGAGTTATCTCTTGTGTTTTCAAATCAAAGTCACTTGTGAACGATTCATAAATCATTTAAAACAAAACTTATTTTATGGTTATTCTTTAATTGAATTATGATTTACACATCACATGCTTTCTTAGAAATCATATTTTAACCTAATGTGTTAACTAAATAGTAGGTCTAAAACAAAGAAGAAAAACTGAAAGTAGATGCACAAACTTATTCAATGAGACAAAAACTCTTGATTTACTTCTATCTTGTATAACATTTTCAGCAGATATAATTTCAATTATCTTTGTTTTGTACAGTACCGCCCAGGCCTCCCTACAACCCTATGCCTCAACCACCGATGCCATCTCCGTTCATGGGTGGTCCAGGCCCACTTCCACCCCAGCCCCCTCAGCCACCCATGGGTAAACACCCGGCTGACGACGGAGACGAACCTGCAGCCAAGAGAAACATCCGGACTGAGGAGTCGCTCATTCCAGAAAACACATTCCTCGCCAAGAATAAGGTGAGCTGTCCGTTAGTCTACAAAAAATGGTTTAACCACCAAACTAGGATATTGTAAAGGGCGATTCAGTTAGAGGTTAGACCTTTAATATGTTAGCACTGTTTCCAATTCAAAATAAACAGCTGACGTTTTGTCATTGACATTGTTGTATGGTACATTTGTCGATTTGTATAGTTATTCAATCAGAGAAAGTGTTTTAGCTCCAAAAACCTTTTACAAAAGTTAAGAAAATTTTGGATGATTAGGGTTTTATTTTTTAACAAGATAAAAAGTGATTATTTTCGACTACAGTTATAAATTCTGTGAGTCTGAACTTCTTGCTAGGAACGAATAATGGTTTAAACAAAATTTGGGCCACAGTTTAAAAAAACCTTCAGCTGTCTAACAGTACCAAACCCACACCACTAGACTAAACACTCCTTTTAGGTTAAAGCATTAAGTTTACACAAACAACTTGATTTTGAAGCTAATGAATTAAATTAAGAGTGTTGTTGATAAAATTAAGTTTATCAACAACTGTGAGAGAAAGTTATGGAATATTTCACCAGGACTTCCCTTTGGCGGCCAATAATTATTGCCAGTCATTGAGAGATAGCACATTGCATTTTCCATAGGCATCAGTCTCAAACAAAGATTAAATTTTACCTCTAACTGTATCATCATATACCTGGTCATCACTGCTTCAGGCAAAAGCGGTAACATGTCAATGTTGATTTTATTTTGCGAATGTTTCTTGCAGAGCCCGGTGTCCTTCAAGGTGCAAGTGCCGATGATGCCAGACAAGGCGGAGTGGAAGTTGAAGGGACAGATGTTGACCATGACTCTACCATTGAGAGACTCAGTGTCCGTCATCAAGGCAAAGATACACGAGGCCACTAGTCTGCCTCCGGGCAAACAGAAACTACACTGGGAGGTAAGAAACAATAGCTCGTACCGTACGAGGTGCGCTCGTCCAGGAGTTACAATTCTTAAAGTCAAGTACAAAATCTCAGACACAAGAGGTTTTATTAAACACAATAGTGAATCCACTGTGAATATCAATTTTCACCTTCTTAGGGTACACGGTACACACTGAATTGTGAAAACTGTAAAACCGATCTTAATTTTGTCAACCATTTAAGCACCTAGATGTAATGTAGTTTGTCGAAAAGCCTTAAAATTTAGGATGGGCTTATTCCAATTCTTAAATCCTGAAAATGTTAGATAGTGGTATTTTTTTTTAATTGTTGACTTAGTATACCGATTCCAGAGGCTTCTGAATCATGGTGACATCACTTAAGTTTTCTATCGCACAAACTTTGATTGTTATAACCCCCAAAATTCCCATCCGGGACAGAGTACTGAGATTATGAAAGATCCATTTAAAATGTCCAAAGTCTTGGATTTTCAACGTCTCTATGGTTTTAAAATTTTGAAAGTTCTGGCTTGTTTAGTTAATCATTTTTGTATTTTTCTAGGGATTGTTTTTCAAGGACTCAAATTCTTTGGCATTTTACAACATTGCTCCAAGCACCATCATTCAGTTGCAGCTGAAAGAGAGAGGAGGAAGAAAGAAATAGACAGGCTCTGAAATTTTTCTTTAAGTGTATTATGTATTTGTGAGATTTTAGTTTTAACAGAATGAGTTATGTGTAAAAATTTAATTTGATAAAGTACATAGTTTTAAAAAGCTGTTTTTATTCCTTGTTTTTTTTCCAGCATGATTTTTTTACACTTCCCCAAGAAGCTACTATCACAAGTATTTGTAGATTTGAAAAGGTCAAAAGAAAATGTTCCATAAAGAAAATTGTTAGAAAAACCCTTGTTGCAATCTGTTAAAAGCATCTGGGGATATATAAGGTTGGTTAAGAATTTCCTTTGTGTTATTTGAAATGAAAGCCCAGAGCACTTAAACTAGACAAGCTTCTGTTTTCAGTTTTGACCTTACCTGTGTGTTTGATATTATGTAGGTAGATTAAGATACACACAGGCATTTATATCTTACATTATTTATTGGTGGAAATTTTGAATTGTTAACAAAAAGCTATTTAAACCACCAAATTATTTGCAGGAGATGTGTACTACGGCTGTACACAATTTTGCTCTTCTATTTCTTGTATCTCTCACAGATTTTTGGAGGATGTCTAAGAAGGTCTAAATCCAACAGCTCTATCCCTTCTGCTGAGCCTGCCCGTTGTAGCTTTGTTAACATTTCTGCCAGCTGTCTAATGCTTTCGTAACCTTCCGAGATGAAATGCTCCTCGAGAAAACCTGTCAAATAACTGTCTCCATGGGTACTTGCTATCTTGTGCAGTTCTTCTAGGCTCTAAAACAAATGTTGAGGTCAATTAGCAGGATAATAAATCATCCCAAACTATATGATACATAAAAAATACCCCCGCCACAGCAAACTTGCAGACTAAGCAAATTTCCATTTGCCTGATTTCATTTTCACTTAAATAATTTTTTAAGCATAGCCTATCTGATTTATCCCTATTTAAATAACATTACATATAAGGAATTAGCTTTGCTTTAGTAAATAGTTATTAGCTTAGTGTGCAATAAATCAATTTGCCATGTTTCATCAAAATATATAAAAAAAACAAGCAAACTACAATAGTTTACTTATTCTTTATAAGAATAACATGAGAATTTTAAATTCACAATTTTCAAATTTTCTCCAGGAAATAACCTTACAAAAACACTTAAAAGATACTAAATTATTTGTTTTTAAGCTCTACAAAATAGTTTGGATAGAGATTGGTAAATTCTATGTTTTAAGGGTCAAATTTGAGAAAAACCAATTTTTACACAGTAAAAACCCGTTTTAACGTAAATTTTAGAATAGCGCCAGAAATGTGTGTCCCTGTTCGCCTTGCCAGAAATGTGACATGTATTCCGAGGGGAAATTAAAATTGTATTCACTGAACAGGCTAGGTCCACCTAGCCACACTCAAATTTCTTCCCTGGAGTACTCAGAAGGAGCCGATAAAATCCAGGGGTCAATACGAAGCTATTTCACGGTTTTAACTGATCGATCATTTTAATTAATTGAAGGCTCAGAGCTCTAAAAGCGCTCAGGAAATCCTGCAGCTCAGGTGGAGCTATATCATCCTTCTTTAAAGTTTTTGAAAATTTTGCCTAACTGTTAAAACTACTCGTCTTACACTTTAAATGCAGCGGAAAGCTATGATATTCATAGTTTACTAATACAATATAATACACAGTAGACTCTCTCTTATCCGGACTCCTCGGGACCGGGGTTTTTCCGGTTAATCCGACGTCCCCAAAACTCGCTAAAACAGACCGTTTAAATGCATACTGTATACAGTATTTGACTTAAATTTAGGAGAGCATTGTATTTACTATTTAGACACGTGATCACTGGTCTCAAATCTTTCCCATGAGAACAGTAGTTTCAGTACCGCCCAATTTCTGCCGATCTAGTTCGGTTAAACCGACGTGCTGATAAAAATTTATTGTGATAAGATCGAAACAAATTTGGATTGCTATTCTCGTTAGAAGTTCAAATCAGGATACTCCCAAGACTTACTATCGCCTGCAACGATGGGGCTTAGAACTGATGATATGTCTCAAGGTATTAAAATGGCAAATCAATTTAACGTAATGATTTACTTAATACGGAGCGGTTACAGTTTGGAATAAATTAATTTAAATCAAACTAAACTACAGCCACCGCTAGTCACTGGCGGGTATAGAATCAAGTCAGGGGTAAGGTGTAGTCAACAGTATCGTCCTCCGGGCAGAAAAAACTTTGAGATGAACCTTCTCATCTGCTGAAGATATTTCCTAATACACCCATCAGGAGACAAAGCAGGTAAATATGTCAATGCTATTTTGAACCGTTGTCAATATTGTTTTTATCTTCCAAAATACTCTTTGCACACCTCACAAGTTATCCCTTAAAATACAATATACTATCCTTAAAATCAAATCCTTTCTGTACGTCAGCACAGGTTATTGTTTTAACACTACCATTCTTAACATTTTGTATTGTATACTAGTGATGTGTGAAAACCAAATCTCAAATCTCAAAACCATCAAAACTTTGGAAAAGTTTCGGTTTCGAGATTCGATAGGCGAGTTTCGAGATTCAAAAGTTTCGATATAGGAAGTTTTGGCACTTATAGTTTTGAAAATGATGACATTTTTGTGACATTATTATTGTTTATAACATTGTTTATATACACAAGCTGGTAGCAATGGAGCAAACACACCTCCATTAACACTAATGATACAAGTAAATTGTATTCTGAATGGAAAAAGCCATCTTAAATACTGGAACAACTTACAATTCAGTTTCATATCGATATTCAATTTATTAAACACAAAGATATATTGACCACTAAAGTTCTAATTAATGTAAATAATGTTTATTTCAATGTCATGAGTTTCATTTATTTTAATGTTTTTGGTTTTGAAGTCTATCACATTTATGTTAATATGTCTGGATCAGGAGTCAATCTCTTTCAGTTTTGATCGCATAATCATAATGAAAATGTTATGATTATCTGTATTTTTTATTTTTTAGCAACCTTGAACACGTAACTAAAAAGTTTCGCATTCAGGTTTTGAGATTCGGGATTCGATTTTTTAAGTTTCGGTTTTGTTTTTGAGATTCGAAATTTCTGGTTTTGACCATCACTATTGTATACAGCTGTCTCTACCGACATTATTCTTGATTGACTAAATATGTCACTCAATGACATCCGACTCACCGCTAACACAGATCTCTCCAGGTCTATACTGTGATGCAGCGCCACCACAGGGTCGTGTACAGGTGCCAGGCTGGGTGCCGGTACGTCACGTATCGCCACATCACCTCCGCGGCTGTTGACAAATGAGGCCAGGAGTTCTGCGTGGTGTTGTTCCTCGGTTGCGGCTGCTGCGAAGAACCGAGCGTAGCCGGGCAGCGCGACATCGGGCCGACTCAAACATGTGGACTGTAACACATAGTCATTAAGAAACTAGGTAGGATTCGTATCTGGGAGATGGTCAAGTCAAGTCATTGAACTGATTGTCAGGGAGATATTTTAGATACAGCGATAAATTTTACTCAAGTTGAGTCCAATTGTTTTATTTTAGCTTGGTCCAAAGATAAATGCTTTGCTGCAACCTGTAACACATTTGGGACGTCAGACAGTATTTTCACCTTTTCATTGTAATGTGCTAAAATTATTTTCAGATTTGTTGCCTTTCCTACTTCCAGTTCCAACTTAAACTAGAGATTATTATTGTTTGTGATGAGACGATTTTCATTGTTGCTTGATTTGCGATTTGTATTGTTGCTTGATTTGCAATTTTTATTGTTTGGGCTGTGATGTTAGGGTTGTGTGGGTTGTTGGGCATAAGTTTGTGTAGAAAAGATGGAAAATATCAAAACTATGTGTATATTTGTAAAGTTATGTGATGTGAAAAAATATCTCGAATCTTGAGTCCAGCTTTGCTTCACAAGAGTAGTGCCGTAAAACTAATAAAACTGAGTTTAGACCTTGTACACTCAGAGCTAGTACTATTAGCATTCATTCTCAACTAGAACTTACCAAGCAAAAGTAAGTGTAACTGGCCTGAAGTTCAAGATTTATCTGTTTATTAAGTCCTTCTTCACACTCTTTGTGAAAGTTATGTCGGATGATCACTTCTTTAAAAGATTTTGTGTTTTGACTGTAATTTACCCTTGGTAACCTAAAAATTTGTTGATTTTGCACTATCTTACTAACTGAAAAGATGAACTTGACTTTCTGTAACATTTTTTTTTTACAAACAGAGTGAAGAATATGGAATAAATAAACAGTAGGGTAAATATAACCTAAAATAATATTATTTTGTTTCAAGAAACATATGATTTATGAATTTAGTGTCTTTAATTTTCCAATGTGTTTTATCTCAGAACATCATTTTCCAATTCATTTTGTTTTTTTTTAATCAACATCATAATTATAAATTCTTGTTTCACAACAAAAAAAACTCAACAAACCTAAAAATGAGAACTTCTCTTGTACCTCCTTGAAGATATTTATTTTACTCAATATGATATTGTGAAATTGAGGTTTTAACCCTTAAGATTAAAATATCATCAATTTTACACTAATACCGAGTTTTTTAGTTATTGATTTTTTGATTAAACCCTCTTTATGAGTTTGTACCACCCTGAATTTCTGTAATATAGGTACTAAAATTGCATTTAGGTACCTATACTAAAAATAATATTGCATTTAAAAATAATATTCTCCTTTCATGGACCTAATACAAGCAATGCAAAACATTCTGTATTGATAAAACATACTGACCAACAAGCCGATGATTGTTGATCAAAAACATCCCAACTTTTATTTTATTCGCGAAGAAAAGTAACAACAATCTTAGTGCTATTATAAACAATCAACACAACAGAAACAAAATATAAGAGGTGTCATGTTCGCTAATCAATTTGTAAATGACCAAACAGAGCACAAAACTTACTCTGCCAACTTTGGAAAAATTCTAGATAACTTTATCAACTGCCTTACAGTGACATAGTAATTTACGTATGGTGTATAAAATTATACCACAATTAAAAGAACTTACCAAAAGTCAAAAGATAGCTTTTCAAGGTATACATATTTATTTATTATATTTATTGGCTCAAAAATTATCAAGATATAAAACATTTTCCACCCATCTAAAAAATTATCTGCAGCATAAAAGAACATACACACAATGGAACATAAACAAAAATATAAATCCTGAGGAACAATAATTGTTCGAAGAAAAGATAACGTCTTCCCCAATCTTGATGACTGCGGAGGAGAAGAGCAATAGTAAGTAAATAATACTCATGAGAGACAGTTATTTTTGTTATTTCAAAGACACGAAGAACACTCATCAAATTATGTATTTAGTTTTTAGTGTGTGTTAAAAATAAATTCCAAATAGCACCACAATATAAACACAATATGTTTGTACAAATATGTTATTCCGGTTGGTAAGTTAAATCTGTGTTATTCCTACTGACTGTATTTGGTTGATGATCCAAATATATATATGTTTACACTTGACCCTGATTATAAAACAAGGTTTGAAAATATAATTTCCGATTAACCCCAAAATAGCATTATTCATTTAACAAAATCAGTTAAGAAAATACTATTTGACAAAACCTAGACATAGGTCACTGGCCATGGCTTACTAAAATTACACCTGCCACCTGCCTGCATCGCTTGAGGATCCACAATGGAGACACTGCCTCTGTGTGCAGGAAATGTGGGCAATCAGAGGAGCTGCTGATCATTGACTCTTCAACTGCACAGCTCTGAACGAGGTAAGGTACAGGTACAGTGCTCTTGGAGCAATGACAAGGGGCAGACACCTTCCTCAGGAGGAGCTCAAAGGTAGGATGCTGAAGTTCATTAAGCAGCTCAGGTTTGACTCTGATGTACAAAGTGGGGAAGTAGGGAGCGCAAAAAGCCCATCAGTGGCTGACGTGCAACAGGACAAGGTCCTCCTCAACAGAATCAATCAATCTAGACATATACTGCATCCTATGTTTTTAAGCGCCTCCATATTTGTGCACGCAGCAACCGCTTTACACTCATGTATTGCAAATTGCATTGTGGAAATGAAGGAACCATCTAAAGTCCTTGAAACCTGTAGCATTTACCATAACTTACCGTTGTTGTTGATTACTTGAAAAAAAGTATTTTAATAAATTCTTTCTGTTGGAGGGAGTAAAGTACAGTTTTAAGTGGTTTATATGTTCTTGAAACTCCTCGGCTTTTAACTTTTTCCCGAGGTTAAACAATATAAAATCGTCTAAAATATCTATCCTACAAACACAACAAATATCCCCGCCGCAGCAAAACTGCAGGCTAAGCAAATTTCCATTCTGGTTGGATTTTCACTAAAATATTCCCTTTCGGATTTATTTTATATTTAAATACCGTTAATTTTAATGAGTGCAGGTTTGCTACTAAAGGGAAGGTAATAAAGTGTGTTTTTAGCGGATTTCTCAATTGGGAAGTAGCTATTACTGTAGTTATCTTTATCAGCGTAATACTAGTTATCCAGAAAACCAAGATAACAATGTAATTACAGACTCTAATCAATTAGGCCCCTACAGCTTTACCCTGTGGTTAAATTTTAAAATCAACAATACAGCGGAATTTTTATGTTTCCTCATGTTAATATGCCCGACACTAATACTTTAATACTTTCAACTATGATGGCGACCAAATTTGAAGTTAACTGGACACTGAATTGCTCTTCCACCTCCAAATATTAATTATTGCGGTAATGGGTAAAGTATATTAACGTAAAAGTATTATGTCTAAAAAAAAGACTTAAGTTACTTAAAGAAACGTTATTTTATCCTATATTTTTGTGTTAATGCGTACTAATGTGTGTTATAAATAAGTTACCCCCTACAAACGAAAAATAATAACATAATCCTTACAAACAAAGTTGGTAATATAAAGAAAAATAAATACCCCCGCCGCAGCAAACCTGCAGACTTAGCGAATTTCCTTTTGCCTGATTGGATTTAAACTATAATGTCTCCTTAAAAATATCACATTTATTCCCTATTTAAATAGAATTAGTTTAATGAGTACTTAGGTTTGCTGCAACAGGGAGGGTAAACAAGTTTTTTTTATGTAAAATATTAAAAGGTACTGCGGTTTAGTAAGAAATTAATGTATTTTCCAAATTTGATCAAAATATGTTCATAAACAAGTAAACTACAACAGTAGACTTATTCTCCATAAGAATAACATGGGAATTTTAAAATTACAATTTTTTTGAATTTTCTCCGTAACAATTAGGCGCATAATAACGCTTCAATATACTAAATTATTTGTTTTTTTAAGCTCTACAAAATGGTTTAAAAAGAAATTGTGAAATTTTGGGTTTTTAGGGTCAAAAATGGGAAAAACCTATTTTTACCCCATAAAACCCCCCATAAACCCCCGTTCCCATAGTCCGATCATGCTGGTTCGCGAACTCATTCAAGTTTATCTCGCCTTACACCTTCAAACCAAATTTTATCAAAATCGGACAAAAATTACTCAAGTTCTCGTGCGGATGGACACACACATATATATATATATATATATATATATATATATATATATAGATATATAAAAATTTGAACGAATGGTGTTTTTGGCCTCTGGGGACATCAAAATGAAAAAGCAAATCGGTCCCGGGCTTAGGTCTTACCATGAGACCTACGGTAATAGCTACTTCCCTATAGGGAAATTCGCTAAAATCACGTAAACCAGATTTAATAGTTGGGATAGAATACATAATTATCAGCCATTCATTATATTCCACAATTATTATTAAATCATTAGTAACAATTAGTCAAACTGTTATGTAATGTTGGTACAATTGGGAATTTAGCTATTGCTAATTTTAAGATGCTAATCAGCTGTTCTTTAGTTCGTAGATCTCGATCTGCTGAGTCAGAGTAGTTCGTAAGAGTAACGTTCTTTTCCAGTTAAAAGTTAAGAGCAACATTATCTCTTCCATGGTTAGTGATATAAAGTTTATGTTTTAAAACTTATTGGGAAAAAGGCTGGTCTATCGCTATTTGCACTTTAGGTAAGAACATTATTTATAACATTATTATAGAATATGCAGCTTTTATCACCTCATAAAGGCGAATATACAGTAGTACAGTCAAATCAAATCTGATTTAATCAACTTTATAGTCTTTGAAAATTTGATTTAGAGTCAGAATGAAGGACTGACTGTATCTTTATACTTTGGTTGGTTTGCAGTGTTATGCAGAAAGTGTATAAAATAATTAAATTTTAGGCTTATAGGCCCACAATAATTCAAAGTAATTTATTTACTATAAAACGTAAACATAAAGGTAAGGAAACGAGTTTTAAAATGTTAAGCCGATGTAAGGTACCCTAATTATAGTAGCCTAAATAGTAATGTTTTTGGAGCAATTTTGCTTCATTTGGCTATAATTTTTAAAACACAATATATATCAAATGTTTGTAAAAAGGATTTTACGCATTATTTGCTTTTATGAAGGCCAATTCAATTGGTACATCGCTAGATATTATAATAAACAGCTTGGCTGGAATAACAGCTACGTATATCTTTAATTTAATTGAGATAGAAAACAGTGCTGATAGATAAATGAGCATCCTAAATTTAACAAATGCATTATTTTTAATAGGCTTGGATGATAGTAATTTTTTAACCACATGCAAATGATTAATTATCATCTGTTATGCAGTCACCTAAAATGAATTCTTACGTACACTATTTTAACCTTAAAGTTAATTTATTAGTTAGTTCAAACGATCAAGCTAAAGGCCAAATCCATAATGAAAAACCCAATTTCTTAAAGCTTAAAGCGACATCATTGTTTTTCTGCTATATTAGTCCTTGTTATAATGGATAAGCCTTAAAAAACTGCAGAACTTGATAAATATTTACATTCGTCAATAGTCTTATCGTGATTTAGTAATGCATTTATTAAAATATTTATCTGAAGTCACTAATCCTCGTTGTAAAGATTTTTGGTTATAAACTCAAGAATATTTTCACGTGACAAAATTAAAAAGTTAAATTTGTATCCATACTTCAGCAAAAGATCTTATAGCGTTAAGGGGATATGCTAATATCGATTGAAACTATCGATTCGATTAGTAAACCTTCATGCGATTTTTTCACCATCAGCAAGTTTGGTTGGTTAGGTTTTATAATAGAGATATTAAAAAATATCGATTATTAATCAATATTTTCAATTCGATAGATTCAATCAATATTAGCTAGCCCAGTCAAGAAACTGTACCCGAGTTATTTATGAGAATTTCTGATTACTTTTACGATACCAATTTCAAATAATGTATGATAACAATCATTGCACTAATTTGCAGACGAAGCTGCTCATCGACTTAAAAATATTCGTTGACAACACAGATGTTTTTATATCAAGTAATAATATTTACAGCTAGATTGGGAAAGTCAAGTACGATTCGAATAAATTTCGAGATAGCGTTATCTGCCTGTCCGCTGATCAGTGAATTTGACCTAGACCAACATTTGTGTAGAGGGGGGGGGATCAGCTGATTGTTGTCTAACGGTATCCTCTTGTTTTGTAATCGCCCAAGACAAAGTAAAACCCTAAATATGTTCCAGAATATGTATTTTTCTTGATCTTACCACACTAAATATAGGAAGATGGGATTTTGATTCTGTTTGTTTTAATATACATAACATAAATTGTCTTTAGTAAATCTGCAATCTTTTTTCACTCAGACCCTTTCATAACGACAACTGCACAACTTTGGGTCAAACTTATCGTAGATAGTAACTCCAAAATTCATACTTTAATACAAATTGTAAAACAAAATTGATAGGAAACAACAAAACATTGGTGCATTATAAATTGACAAAATTTGTCTGATGAAGTTATTTTAAAGAATAGGTTTTGAGTATTTCTAATTGTCATCAATAATATCAGAATCGCAGTTTCTTTACTGCAAAAAAATGCCTACATAAAGTACAAGGCAAAAGTCACTAAAACTAAAATAGGTATATAAAACACAAAAACTAAAACCATAAGCAGTACCCAATACTCAATAAAATGACCGCCATTTTTTATGTACAAACCCCCCTCGAGAAGTGCCCTCCAAATATTCATAGCTCAGTAAACATATATCCCATCATCTAAAGTAAATGTGCCTCAAGCCACTGGATTTAGTGTTATTAGTGCAATGTTTTTAAGTGATGAATAATTCATCACTTAAAAACATTGCACTAATAACACTAAATCCAGTGGCTTGAGGTGAATACATACTGTAAACTGCTTTAGTTTAATTCCAAACATTAAATTATTATGATTTCACTAAACCCTTATTTTCTAGCTGTGTGATTAACTTCATTACAACACTGTTCATACATTCATCTCGTACACACGCAAAAGTATCAAGTTAGATAAGTTTACCAAATAATTCATGTGCTATTGTCATTTTTACTTGCCAATATTTCGCTAAATGTATTGAAAAATACTCTCAAGAAGTGCGGCTAATGTTAATTAATCATGCTACACTAGAATCATTGATTATTTTATGTACAAGATATGTAATATTAAGTTTTTAATTTGAGTGATTATACCAGAGAAATAAATAAGGATGTTTAATTTCGAGACGACACTGACAGTTAATAGATAAGCTCGTCAATACGTCGAAACTTATCTCACTTAATAGATAAACTATATATTGTTTAGTAAAATCAAAATACTGTTTGCTAACAGAAAGCACACAGATTTACATTCGCCCCAAATGTATAATCACTCATTCCCGCAGTAATAATTAAGTATATGGGCCCTTTACAAACATAGAATCATTATTTACTTATTTAGTTGCGACATTCTAATAATCAGCGCGACACCTTGTTATCTTATCGCAAGAGGTTGGCACGTGATATTCATTTTGTAGGTTGGTAGAATTGGCGGACTCTTCCGGCAGCATTTAGATTTTCCGTGCTTCACTTTCCTCTTTCCTCTTTCCTTATCATCGTCGCCATGTTGGTCGTTACTATTAACAAGGGTTGCATTGTTAGTAATTAAATCCAAATATATGCTTAATAATTGTGAGATCTGATTGTATTCTATCAAGAAAACC